TAACACCCCCACGCTGCAAACTTGCGTGTCCTGGCAGCTCCAAGCCCCTGTCGTTCAGCAGTGCGGTGCCAGGGAGCACGGGCAGGGGGAGACGGGGGCGCACCACGAAGGACCCTGCAAGGCTGCCGGGCGCTGGGTGGTGGGGAGCCTTTACACAGAGGAGTGACTCGATTTGTTTCTCACTGGAAACATCACTGGCTCTCAGATGGGTGAGAAGGAAGGCAGGAATGGAAGCCCTCAGGAGGCTGTGGTTGTCTGGGCGGGAGGGGCTACTGGCCTGGAGTGGGGAGGGGGAAGCAACAGGACCACAGAGAGAAATGGGCAGATCTGAGGACTACGTGGGCAACTGGACGCGCCAGCACTCGGGGCAGAGAGAGGATGGAGAACACGAGGCAGAGCCCTACTCGGAAGGAGTCCATCGTAAGCAGGAAACGATGGCCGATACTCTTGAACTGCAGGCAACACCAGCGTCTGTTCACGCCCTCCCACCACACACACGTGTACACACACACGCCTGCCCCCGCCTTCACCGTGGTCTTGTCCTGGGAAAAGAGCAGCAGGAGGGGAAGTCCCCTGTCCCCTGCCACTGGGCCGCTGGGGAGGGCAGGATGTAAGATCAACACTTGTCATCTGAGCTCAGGGGAAAATAAGATACCCTGGATCTTTTCTCAACATGGTCCTTGAATTTGGGAGGCTTAAGGTGAAGATTCTAAGGGCTTCAAGGGGGAAAAAGGACACTTCCTCTCTGTTTATTTTAAATGTCTGAACCTGAAACGAGCTGTATTTCTCCGGGGAACAAAATCCTGAGTGCCTTTTGAGTCATGTCAAGAGTCAAGAAGAGGCCGTTTCAAGATTGCCCGCGCGCGCTCAGGTCCAAGCCGAGAGCCAGCCCCTCGCTGCCCCGCCTTCCTGCTCAGCTGGCCTGAGGGCTCCCAGGGCAGGGTGTGGGGGCCTGACGCAGGGCGGGGAGCGGGGCTGCGAGAGGGCACTGAGACGGGCCATCTCCATCTCCACCTCCATCTCCCTTGCCAGTGGGGAGGTAGAGGGCGTGTCCACACTCTCCAGCCCGCCCCAGCTGGTTCCCGATGCTGCAGGACCATGTGTCAGAGACCTGGGTTCAAATCGCAGCTCTGGGACTTAGTGCTGTGGAAATTGGGCCACGTTAATTTAATTCTCTGAACCTCAGTATCTTCTTTAAAATGGAGAGGAAAGGCTGTGTATGTAAAAATCTGGCATACTCTGGACTCGCAGAGAGTGGGGCTCAGAGTGTGTCCTCAGAGGGCCAGTGGCCTGGGGGAGTCTCTGCGCACCATGGAGAGAGGCCTGAACGAATGCCCAGAGTTCAAAAGACTGAGGATGCCGAGCTGGGAGCTGGGGCACCTGGCATCTATTTGCAGCTCGTCCTCCAGCACCACGACCTGGTTCACATCCTCTGCACTCTGAGTCTATGTCGTCCCGTATTGAGTGGGCACACGGTCCCTGCCTGGCCCGGCGGGGCCGCAAGCATGGTGGGGTGGTTACAGACGCAAAGGAATCTCCCCGAGGGCACGAGGAGGAAGCACATTCACCCTGAATCCGGGGTGGCTAAGCCGGCGAAGTGGGAAATGTGGGGAAGGGCAGGTAATCCAAAGTGAGGACCAACGTGAGTGCCCAGGAAGGAGGTGGAAAGTCAGTCACTTCTGCGTGTTGCCTCCTGCCACCTAATGCTACAATCGGCTCGCGCATTTTCACTGCCATCTGTCAGCAGCCCTGAAACTACGGCCTTCCTCTGTCCTGTTCCCTGTGTTTACATCTGGTTAGCAAGATCTGGTGGGGCATGTCCGTGTTGTGGGGAGGTGCTGGCTGCAGCGGGGCATGACGGTCCGTGAAAACAGCGTTTTGTGCTTAACCTTCACTTCTCCTATTTACATTTTAAAACATGTAAGGAGCATTTCCCATCCACCCACAACTTGACATAGTATTATCTTACTCAAACCTCCCTTTAAGCCTGTGAGAGGAGGCACGAGGCCCGCTTTGTAGAGGAAGCTCACAGAGTGGACTTGGGCATTTAGTAGCAGCAAACAGAAACCACGAGTCAAACTCGACTTAATCAAAAGGGAGTTTCTTGGCTCCTGCAACTGGAAAGTCCAGAGGCAGGGCCGGTTCCAGGCAAAGCTGTATTTAGGACTCGGATGCTCTCCACAGGGTGGGACCTGCTTTCCTCTGTGGGTTTCTCCCTCAGACTTTCTTCACACTGGATCCCCCACTCCCAACCCCATGGAAAGCTGCCTTGCTTTCTCAATGGTCCCAGGAAAGAACCGGGACCACACGTGACCAGCCCTGACCCCATCTCTGAGTACCCAGGAGTTCAGAAGGCTCTGACCGGTCAGGCGCCCTGCCCTGCAGCCGAGGTTGGGTCAGTCCTGGAAACACAAGGACTAAGAAGGGGAACGTTACGGTCTTGCAAGAGACTCATCAAAGCACTGCTGGAGGAGTGTTAAAAACAGTGTCCGTCCCCTAGAGACCAGCGTCACACAGGGTGCAGTGCAGCCTCTACCCTCCAGCTGGCTGGTCTCAAAAGCCTTGCCGTTCTTGCTACCCAGAGCAGCGACCCTCAGCCCCAGCTACACATCAGAGTCAGGCCAGGAAATGAGTCGAAATAAATACCAAGACCAGGGCAAAGAAACGAGATGCTTTGGGGGCAGAGCGTGGCATCAGTATTTCTCCAAAGCTCTCCGGGTGACTGTGCCGTGCAGCCGAAGTCCGGCACCAGCGAATGAGGACGACCCCCCCCTCCCCCGGCACACACTGTAGGGTGATCGAGGCTACAAGTGCGGCCACGGTCACGAAAGGAGGGCTCCGAACCCAGGCAATCTTGGTGACTGCGGGGGACGATGAGCGGGTGCCTGGGAGACTGGGGATGTGACCCTGTCAAACCAAGTAACCGGTCTGGCCTTGCAGCTGAGGCAGGCTACCTCCGGATGGAGGGCAGGGCTTCCCACGTGGAGCTGGGCGGCCGTGCTGGCTCCCCCCTCACCGTGAGCATCCCTGGCCGCAACGTGTGAATCACTTTAGCAGCTGCCCGGCTGGCAGCACACACTTCAGGGGAGTGAGAAACACGCCGCCCCGGGCGAGCGCCCTTCCCTTCTGCTTGCTGCAGCAAGTGGGCTGGCTGCGAACACGCCCGGCGGCCAGGCTGCTCCAGGCCACCAGAGTCCCCTGCCCTTCTTCTAGGACAAGGGGGAAAATTCAAAACCTAGCTATTGAGGGCCCTGCTTCCCCCGCTGAACTTAGACACAGACACTGGAAAGAAGCCACAGCTCCCCTGGCCACCAGTACCACTGACCGTGTTCATCCGTCTCTTCCTCACCCGTCCTTCCTCCTCACCCATTTCTCTACAACTGCTCAGAACCCCTGCTACATCACAAAGGCTTCATGTGTCAGGCACTGCCTCCACAGAGGAGGAGACCGAGGCTCCCAGAGGCCCCGAGACTTGCTCAAGGTCACATGGGGGCGACTTCCTGGCACTGAGTCCTGATGCACAGTCCTTGCTCTTTGCCCAGAGTGACACCTGCAGTTCCCGAACACGCCATGGATCTGCTCCTTTCCCCCACCTCACGCCCACTACTCAGCATGCCACCTTGCTTCACTGACTGTCCGTGATCACCGTCAGGGGCCCGCCTGTCTCTGCCACATGATCCAGAAACCAAGAGCCTCAAAGTCACACGAGTGCCCCGCTCAGACCTTCTGCCCAGGTCACGCCTCCTCTCCAACAGATCACTTTACTCTGGTTTTCAGCAAGATCTTTTATTTATCTCCTGTTCCCCAACCACGTCGCACGCGCACAGGCAGCCAGGTGCCTGTGCGGGCTGTTGGTTTTGTAAACGCAGAGCAGTCAGTACGTAGAGAAATCATGCACCTCAGTGATTCTTTGACAAGAAACTTAATGAGTAAAAAGACTTCGGGTGTGTTCGAAATGTCTGCCCTTTCCTGCATTCTGATCACTGAAAAATATCTGTGTAGAAATTTTACTCAAATGCAGACACGTTTTCTTTGCACATTTGCTAGTAACTCCCTGGTGCGTCTCAGACCGTGTTCACTTCTGACGGTTGTTCCTCCCAGAAGCTGCTGGTTTCTGTCCGGAGAGAAACACTGGATCTGGACCTGTGATAAGTGTGTTCCAGACCGTTCCACGGCTTTATAAACCTGACTGCCATAACACGTTATTCAAAAAAGGCATCTCTAAATACGGCTCGAGGTGACTCTTTCATACACCGGCTCCCAAGGGGCCATTTCTAGACTTATCGTCTCAAACTGGCCATGTCCTTCCCAGGAAACCAAAAAACCAGTGCCACGACCGTGGGTCCTTCGGGCTGGTAGGTCCCCGCCGTGTCCTCACACACACACACTGGCGTAGGTGGCCCTCACTGGGCCCACACCCTCGTGCGGTGACAGAGACACAGGGCCAACTCTTCCACGATCTCTGAGCCCAGCGCTGGAACATTTATGTACAGACGAATAAATGGAAAATCATAGAAACAGAACTCCAAAGCAAAACAGACACTTTGGTCGGGTCTATGATTCCAGTTTTGCCAGAGAGAGGCTTTCCCGGAACATCACTGGGTGGGTGAGGTCTCACCCAACCGCGGCTCATCGCCGGGGACCCAGAACAGCTCAGGCGGGGGTCTTCCAGGCCCGCTTTGGCAGTGGGGCTTCTGTAGGCAGTGAGGTAACAAGTCACACATTCTACGGCTGGTCCGACGGAGCCCCAGCCCCAGCCCGGTCGGAAGCGACGTTTACAGAAAAGCCTCCAGTCCCACAAGCCCGATGCGCTTTGCCACCAGGGACCTGGCGGGGTGTGGGGTGAGGTCAGCGATGGTGAGTCTGCCCTGCCCTGACCGGGCCGCCCTGCCAGTGAAGCTGGCCAGGGACGGTGGCCACAGCCGACCCCAGGTGACTGGCGGCAGCAGAGGCTGAGTTCTCCAGCCTCTCCGGTTTGCAGTTTTTCTGTTTTGTTTTTGTTTTAAGACGACCACGAGAAGTTGTACGCTATCACATTCAGACAGATAACCGTTTGGCGACTCTACTTCGGAGTGCTGACAAAACCAGGTAGCAGCATGACACGGACAACAGGGACACTGCGCCTCCGGCCACAGAGCAGAGTAATGCGCCACTAGGCAGAAAGGAACTGCAGAGCAAATGACTGGGAGGAAAAGAATCTAAGGAAATACAAGCTGGAAATTTCCCGTTTTCAATAATCAAAGGGAAGAGGGACCCAACATGAAAAAAAATTTGCAAGTAAGAGCTTCCGTTGAGGCAGGTTTGTGAGGACAGAAACCACGGCGGGGGCTGGGCCGCACCCAGCCCCACGGCCCCTCTCGCCGACTCCAGCAAGGGCAGCGCTCTCATCGTCCCGGAGCAAAGATGAAATCCAGGGCCTGCCGTTCGGCCGCTGCGACGTTTGGATGCCACAGGTCCACCATGAAAACCACCCGTGGGCCATCCTCCGCTGAACCTGGGGGGAGGGTGGCGAGAGAGGAGAGGTTCAAACCACCCGGGGCCAGGACCCACGCAGAGCGGCACCCGCACGGCCGGCTCTCAGGAGGGGACCCGGCCTGTCCCTTAGCACAGATCGCAAGACAACCACCTCCTGATCTCATAATCAGCAGTGTTAACAGAAGGCTCCAGAAGGTTCTGAGCAGAATGCAGGAGAGGAAGTGGGCAGAGGGAAGGAGGGGAGAAAGAGCGGTGGGTGGAGCGCAGACGGTTTTTAGGGCAGTGAAGCTACTCCGTAAGATCCTGCCACGGTGGACGCAGTTGATAACAACGTGTCAAAACTGGCCCATCAGTCATAGCAGAGGTACCACACGGATGGAATGCAAGATGTCAATGAAAGTGGAAACTGTATGGGGGGGGTCATGTGAAGGGGCAGACTCTGTACTTTCTGCTCAGTTTTTCTGGCAACCAGAAACTGCTCTAAAAATAAGGTTTCTGATTTTGTTTTCTAAAGGTGGCATCAGGAACAGCGGACACCCACCTTCGTGGAACGCGGTGTGCAGGAAAGAGTCATCGAAGAGGAGGCAGCGGCCCTCTGCCCAGCACTGGGGCTCCCCGCCCACCACCAGCTCACAGCCACTTGGAGTCTTCAGACCTTTGGAGGGGGGGGGAGAGGCAGAGGAAAGAGAATGAAGGAGGGCAGAGCAGGGACGCGGGAAGTCGGGTGGCTGGCTTTGGAGAGAGCTCCCAGCTTCCGAAGCACCGCCTCCCGCCTCGCCCCTCGGGAGCCCTGTTTGGGGGTGAGTTGGACAGGACAGACACAGACTGTACCCCTGGGTCCTCACTGTGCTCCCTGGAAAAACCCATCCCTCCACGGGCCTGATCTGCTCTGGGCCACGGATTCCGCTGGTTAGAGCGCGGACTGGGGCTTGCACCACACCTCTGAGTCTCCTGAAGCCCAACCATGGGGCCCTCAGAAATTGAGGGAGGCCGGGTTCAGAGCCCCGCCTGGCCCAACAGGCAGGGGCTACCTCCACTGAGATTAAAGATGCAAAGACTCACACGCCGCCCTCCTCTTTGGGTCCCAACCTCTAAAGCCATCGTGAGACCCAAGGATGGCACCTTCTCAGCCTAAGTTCCCCCAGCCTCGTTCTGGGGGAGCAGAAGACTCCCCTGAGGAAATGCTGGCGCTCCGAGAGGAAACAGACTGCCCCCTTCGCAAGAAGCCGTACGTTCAAAATGCAAGTGGGGGTCCGATGCTCAGGTGCACAACCCTGGAAAGGGGGTCTGGCTGAAGTGCTGCTGTGTGTGCATTTCACACTCCCATCTCCAACCCAAGGGAGGGTCTGAAGGAACATGTGGCCCCGGCACTACATGGTCGTCCTAAATGAAGGCACCAGCGCAGCCATCTAACCGACTCAGAAGAGGTTGGGGTGGCCCGACAGAAACCTCTCCGAAAGGCCTGACCCGGGAGGCAGCAGGGCCCCAGGAGAGGGGCTGGGGTAGCAGTGTTCTCATCTGTCCTCAGTGACTCCCCCGACAACTGACCCTGGGCCAGTCGGCACCCCTGTCTGATTTCATGTCCCTCACGACACACAACACAGCCTTCTCTCTAACAGCCAGAGTATTTAATACACCCTCTCAACCAGAAATGGATGGTTCCAGGGAGCATGTATGGAGTAAGAATTCAAACAGAGGCCACATGGCAGGATAGAGGACTTGGGGTCAGAAGACTGACTCTGACCCTTATGTGCTGGGTGACTTTGAGCAAGTCACTCAACCTCTCTGAGCCATAGCCTGCTCGTCTGTAAAGAGGGGACAGTGGCATGCTTGCCTTCCAAGGCTGCATGACCACCATCCTGGCTACAATAACTGAAGACTCACTGTGAGCAGGTTTGAGTTAAATAAACATTTTACAGACATCACTTCACACACTTTTCCAGATGGAGCAACTGAGCTTTAGAGAAGTTAACTGACCTGCTGGAAGTCACTACTTAGTTCTGCAGGAACTGAGATTTGAACCTGAATCTGGCTCCAAAGAACAGGCTCTTCTAACCGTTCACTGGCCCGGATGGAGAGCGCCCACGGCCACATCTTTTCATGTGTGCTTTCACTGGTTGGTTTGGGTGGAGAAGGCCTGCAGGGACAGTCACTCAGGGTTTAGAAAGAAGCTCCCCTTTCTCTGGGCCACGAAATGATTCACTGCCACGTGCCACGGTACAAGAGAAAAATGGCCTGGCTCGCTGGCTTCACAGCCCCCTGCTGCCTCTCCTCCGCCTCCCCTGCACTCTGCTCCAGCCTTCCGGAGGCCCACCCTCCCTGCCTGTTGCCTGTTGCAAACCAGCTTAGTGGGCAGAAACGGTCAATGCTCCTCCAAATGCGGGGTAGGGGGTATAGCTCAGTGGTACAGTGTGTGCTTGGCATGCACGAGGTCCTGGGTTCTATCCCCAGTACCTCCATTTAAAAAAAAAAGCCCCCCCTAATAAAGCATTCTGGTGGCCCTTGGGAACAGGCCCCATGCACGGCCTTGGCCAGTCCTATATCCACAGGCTCCTCTGGCTTAGGGCTTGCAGCTTTGTCCCCACCACCCACTGCAGGAGGCGCAGGTTGGGTGCGGAGGGGGATCTGCCCACCGGCAGCCCCACCTCAGGAGGCTGGCAGCTGGTACTCGGGGTTGGCAAGGCAGACACAAGCTGAACCACGCATTTCACTCACCAGACAGCAGAGAAATCCAACAATATACTCATGAAAGGGAAATCAGTCTAATTTGCTTATTTCATGAGAATTGGAGCACATGCACCTTCATCCATCCTTTCCTGAGGGTCGGCCACTTGGACAGGTACCTGCCTCCCCGGTAACACCTGCCTAGGTAGTTTCAGAGGTTGTTCCCTGGAGGCTTGTGGCAGTGGCTCGGGACATTCTGGCCATACATGATGCTGAGTGACAGCTGGCCCACAACTGTCACGTGGTCCTGTGGGGAGGGGAGGCTGAGTGACGCTGTCCCTAGAGGAAGCTCAGAGCAGACCTCTGCCAGCGTGCGCCACACGGAGAGGATGCAGCCGTGAGGAGGGACAGCGCCCCCAGTCTCCACGCAGACAGAGGCAGGAAAGGAGGCCTGGGTTGACACGTCAAGGGCACAGTTCTGGAACCGCAGGTGCCTCCTGCGGCAGCCAGGTAACTGGCAGAGGTGTGGTCTCTGGCACGTACCAGGCCTGCCCACTCTGACCTCATTCTCTGGGCACGCCCTCTGTCAACACACAGGGTCACGGGAGTCTCACACCCCTCTGTCTCCTTCCTGGGTGGATCCGGACATGGACACCACGGAGCGAACCCAACCTTGGCGCTCGCCCCAGCCTCGGGGAACAGCCCCACACCAGAGGGATGCCTTCCAACACCGCCTGCTGTCCAGGGTGACACGGCTGACCCAGTTTCCCTGGTGAGGAGGAACTCGCTGGGCCAGGAGGGGAATGACAGGTCATAAAGAGGCCCACGTAGGCATGTTTTACATACACACACACACACACACACGCGCGCGCATGTACGCCGCACAGACACACCACAGGCATGAACACCCAGGAGGCAGATCCACCAGCACATCCTACTCAACACACCTGCCTGGAATTCGACCACATCAACCTCACATGCCCTTCCCCACCTGTCATTCTGAAGCTTTTTAAAAACGCACAAGGAAAACCTTTGAAAGAACAGCACTGCTCTCCGCTGCCCACAGCCTCAATTCTTCTCAGCCTGGCAGCGGGGCCTCTGCAGTCTGCTCCCACCCACCTGCCCAGGCTCAGCCCCCACCAGCAGGCTCCCTGGCGAGCCCAGACCTGGCACCCCCACCCCACCCTGGCGGTCCCAGGGAGCCCTCAGGGGCAGACCCATCTCCCCAGAGTGCCCACCTGCAGCCCCTGCATCCTCGGAGCTAGCATACGCCCTGGTGCCTCGCACAGAGATTTTACTGATCGTGATCACCACTTAGACAATCATCTCATCTCTTAGATTAACCACAGCCCCTTTAACTGGCTGCCCCTCACCTGCCCAGTACTTTACACACACTGCATACTTCTAATTGTCCAAACAGCCCCCCCGGTAGGTATTACTCCCACTTTAGGGAGGAGAAGACTGAGGCGCAGAGTTTCAGGTCCTGCCCAAGGTCCCTCGGCAGGTGGGGCTAAGCTGGGACCCGACTCCAGGTGCCTCCCAGGTCTGCTACTTTCCCTGTGATTCCCGAGGGCAGAGACTATGTCTTAGTTTTCACACTGCCCAGCACAGCATTTGACCATAAAAGCTCCTCGAATACCATTTCCCGAGAGCTGTCAGAGGCCAGGCACCGTGTCAAGCTGCCATGGAAGATACTATTTTATTTACACCTCTCAACGTTCCTGTAAGTGCAGTCTCCCCATTTTACAGACACAGTTACTGCCCAGACTCTCACAGCTGACCACGAAGCCAGGCTCCTTCCTCCAGAGCCCCTCCCCTGTCCTGCTTTTACTCTTAAAATACTCAAGTGTCAATTGCTCAAATCTAGTAGTTCTTTTTTTTTTTTTTAAGTCTACTGAAGCCTGGTGTCCAAGCCACATCTTATTCAGAATCCCCAAAGAGAGCGAGTGGGAGGAGCAGAGGGCTAGAGGGCCGGGGTGGCGGGTTCGAGGTCCC